CCCACTTGACCCTGGGAATTGTGAGTATTACTCAGTACCCATACTCACTTGACTTTGGAATTGTGAGTACTACTCAGTACCCATACTCACATGCTAAAACAGTGTGAGTACCACGCCCTGGTGGCAAGTGGGGAGTGGGGGTTCTTGTGTACATGTATGTATGCATACAAGACATTGTACAGTACTCAGTTCTCGACAACTCACAGCCGTACTTGAACCTGTACTCAGTATGAGTAATGAGTACAACAGTAGTCTAGCTTCAAGTAACAGCACTGCATCTTTAAATCTGATTGGTTCTTCTTGTCAATTATTGTTCAATAATTGTTCTTCTTCGGAATACCGTATGGGCTTTTCGAAGAGCCTGTGACGGCATGTACCGGTGGCAAAAAGAACACAGAAGAACAGTTGTTCGACGGCCGGTATTCCGTCTCCTTGAGACGGCGCACCTTTTGGTTACCCCCTCAGTTGCAGTCTGAAATCGATTTGCCGGCGTTTACTGTGTAAATTAGAGTAGCCGCACTTCAGTTGCAGAATCAACGGTCATGTGTATCGTTAAGTAACAAGTTCCCTTTCGAAAGATTTAGATTGATTCGATTCGATTCGTGGAAGCTACTAAGGTTAAGGATTGAGTACCAGTACGGTACGTACTGTAGTATGTACGATGAATGGTTCAATTGAAGGCACAACACTGACTTCTCTCCCTCATTGAATTCGTATGGTAAACAGGAGGTAAATCCAAGCTTGGCCGACAACAATGATGAGTGCTTTATCCAATCGGCCTCAGTTGAATCGACCGATCGATTGATTGATCGAATCGATCGCAATGAGGTAAGCCTATTATCAAGAGCGTTGTTGAAGGTGCAGCGCTGACTTCTCTCCCTCATTGGATTTCTATGGTAAACAGGAGAGAATTCCAAGCTCGGCCGTCAACAGGTGAGTTGTTTTAATTATTCGAATCGAATCGGTCGCACCTCTGTTATCCAAGCCAAGCCGGCTGTCTCCGGTGCAGAATGGAAAACCATCCCTCATTGAATCCTATGGACCATGGGATGGCAGTCAGTTCTCGGCCCATGACGGCCAAGTTGGTGCAATTTGAAAAACAAGGGTAAGTCGCCGGTCGTCTGCAGTTGAGCACAGAAAACAAAACTCATATCTATTTGTTGTTTTCTCTGCTGTACTGCTGACGGCCGATGAATTACCATTGTCGACGATCGATCGCTCCGGATAACAAGAGGAGAGGCTACCACTACGGAGGAGGAGGCTCTGTTAACTCCAGCCCTACCAACAGCATGAACGGAGGAAATCGTCGTCGAGTCATTGAATGGCTACAAGAGGAGGCTACACGACAACACTCGTACGCGCAGAGGAGAGTGGATCCTACTGCTGGATTCATCCCTCCAGTGTTATTTCCTAGTGTTTTGGTGGTGATTCATGTATCGGTACCCACCTTCCTGTATGCACAAGTCCTCGGGCGAACGACTTGCTTCTTTCATAAGATAATAGATCATCGATTACCAACAATAGACCACTCCTTTCATTAGATAGTAGACACCTTATAGATCAATAGGATTGACAATATTCGGTTGTGTATATATTCGTCATAAGGATCCAATGCGAGGTACCTGTACCGGAGTGTAGTGAGCAAAGCCGAACCTGAGTGTGTTCGGTACTGTTGCCACTGTCGCCACTGTCGCCGATGTAACTATACGGTGTGTAGCCGACTACATTTGCTGGATTGACAATATTCGGTTGTGCA